CTTCATGATCTGCCAAGTTTTTGAAGTATATAGAAGAATCGACCTAACAATGGTGTTGAAAATTCGAGTCTTCTTCTTTGTGCTGACTGCAGAAGATTTCGAACTAATTCTGGAATGATGAAGGTCTACTTTGCCTTCGCAACAGAGGCTTTGAAGTGCTCAACGTTTCTGCTCGTAGTTGAAACAATGCTTCCTAGATAAGCGGAAGAAGTGAATTCCTTCAAATTGCTCCTGCTGTTAGTGATTGGTGCTACTTGCTGTTGGTTATGCACCTTCACCGCCTCTGTTTTCTTTATGTTCACTTGAAGTCTTGCCTTCGTTGGCTGCTTCTTCTTCCAATCTGTTGCTTTTCACCTGTTCGTCTTCAGTTTTAGTTATCTGCAGAGACTTTCTAGAGTCTTCTTATTGATCCAGTTTGTGCAGATCTTCTCGCTAACCACGGTCTGCTGCATGATCCGGCCTGCCACCGTCAGGAAAGTTATCTGTGATAATAGGCAGCCAGCTTGTCTTACTCCTGTATTCACTTCGAACGCCTCGCTGAGTTTTCCGTTGTGGATCACCTGACATGTGGAATTGTCATATAGTCAGCTGTTGAATGAGGTTGATAAAGATTTGAGGCACTGCAATCTGTAGTGTTGAAGTAGTTCCCAAGTTACTTCTTGATGAACTCTATAGAAGGACTTTTCGGAGTCGATGAAGTTGAGCTACAGGTTTGACTGGCGTTCTACGCTATCTATGTTCTGCGATGACGATGCGAAGATTTGCAATTTGATCAGCATGTGATTTGCCTTTTATGAATCCAGCTTGTTCCACCCTGGTGGAGTTCTGCATCCATTGCGTCTTTTGATCTCTCTAGGATGACGTGATTTAGTAGTCTACTTGGCGTGGACAAGAGAATTATTCCACGCCAGTTCTTGCAGAGAGAGAGGTCTAACTTGCCCTTCTTTGGTAGTTTCAAAAGATAACCCTTATTTCAGGCAGTGGGTAACTTTCCTTCCTTTCAAACATTTTTGCAGCAGTAGCGTGGGAATATCCGCTGCGTTCCCTTGGTAAATATTCAGTGTTTCAGGTGGAATTACATCCAGCCCTGTCGCCCTTCCAGTCTCCAGTAGCTTGATTGCATTCAAGACTTCTGCTTTAGTACTCACTGGCAGTCCTTTTGGTGTTGGTTGTGGCCGGTTCGGGAGTCGTTTGAAGTGGTCAGTTCACTGTTTCCTTTGTCGCTCCTCCTTGGTAATTCCATTCCCTTCACTATCCTTCATTGATTTCATCTGTGTTGATCTCTTCCTGGATAAAGACCTGGTCATTTGATATAATGTCTTGAGGTCCCTGCTACCTGCAAACTGCTTTGCTTCATTTACCAATATGCTGTTGAATTATCTTTTCTCTCCCCTGGAATCCTCCGCTTCTTTATACAATCCGTTGTTTATTTTACTCAGCTTCTCCTTCTGTTGTCAATATTCGCAATAGTTCACCTTCTTTTTCACCATCCTCTTCTCTCTTTTCAGCTTTCATGTATCTGCGTAAAGTCTTTTCTCTATGCTATACATGCTTCCTTTAACATCACTTCCAGAGAGTTACAGTGTTTCGCAACACAGGTTTCCTCGTCAATACTACGTAATATCTCCGACTTTCATCTGACGGCTGCAATAAGGGTGTCACTTTTATTTTCTGTTTCTGGGAGCTGAAATTGAATTGTGGTCTATCTCTTGCTTCTTGGGTTGTATTCAGGTTGACCTTGAATGTTTGTTGTATTGGATAATAGTCTGAACCCACATCTGTTACTCTTTTCGATTTTGCATCCAACAGGTTGACATTCTATGTTACCATATTTATTTTTGCTTACATCGAAAGACGATACTACGGCGGAATGACTTAGTGAAGGTTTTCACCCCTCTAGGACATTTCGTTTTTTTTGATTCCACTGATGGGCTTGATTTCTCTGGTAGAGTCTCTAGCTCCACACCCAACCTTCCTTCTTTTACACGCCTTAGGACTGGATAGTCATCTAGGTGAGGTTGGTCATCTAATATACCTGACATAGTTTAACTGTTTTCCCATTACTTGTTGTCTGTAAGACAAATGAAGCTGACAGTTAGAAATCTTATGTGATAAGATCCAAAATTATAATCAGTGGAAAAAATACAACTGAGTTTTTCAATAATTTAATAATTTCCATTGTAACATTAAGAACACAATATTCAGCGAAGAGACTCTTCCCAAGAAATTTATTATCAAGCTGTACAGTCGTATATAAGTGGGCTTTTTATATTAAGAAATTATATCCCGTGAGGAAATTTAAACAAAGGTGTGAATACACAGAATAATAATATCAGTACCATGAGATGCAATTAAAATATTTGTAATTATAATCATAAATGAATGTCAGCTCTCGGGTGGCAAACAATTAATGTCATACATAGGATATGTAGAGTTCATACATTCATTCTCCTACGTGAATTTGAATCAAGAAAGAACAAAATGTTTTGTAGAATAATATGGTGCCATCACTTGTTTCGTTGGCTTCTCATCAGTTGCTTGCAGCCTACGTCTCAAGGGAACAAACGCACACAGTAGTGCTATTACCAGACATCTGCTTGATACGGCTCATGAAGTGAAAATCGCGAAATCCTTTTAAATTATCGATAGGAAAAAAGCTTATTTCTCCTCAAGTTTGCAGAAGCAATCTCAATCATATGCCTGAAACACGATCTATGTGTTAAGAAAGAAGAGGCAGTTATCAGTCTTTCTTTGCCCTGGTTGGTGACAGAACGTCTTTATTCTCTCTTTGATTTGGTTACGTAATCTTTGGATTAAGCCTCACCCCCTCCTTAATATAGTGTAATTTGCTTGTCTCCTGTTTCTATGATTTGAGATGAACTCAGTACATTGTTACCTAATTTATTAGTCACTCATCATCTCACGCACCTCTCGTATTTATTACGTAATCTCCCTCACCAGTGTATGCATATATTTACTTTGTTTAAACTTGACCTCCCTGTGCAGAAACTATATAAGCGTAATTTTCTGAGCACTGTTCACTAAGTCCAGAACCACCTGTCAACTGACATCATGTAAAATTTGCAAGTGTGTTAAAACTTTTCTGTACATGAACTTAATAACAATTTATTTAGGTAGTAAGCAGGTGATGAGGAGACAACGAAATAAATGACTGTAACATATTCAGCAAAAAACTGTTGTTCTTGCTTTACGTTTAGTTCGTAGGATGTATAGACTTTTGAAGAAGGTGGATAATTATACCGTTTATTGGCCAATATAAAACTTTACGTGGCATATTGCAACATATCAGATATGAAATTGAGCAATTAAAACAAAAGCTAAAAGGAATAGTTACCAATGTAGATTATGATCTTATAACACAATCCTCCAGCAATGCAAAATCAGCAACTTACAAAAAGTCAAAAAAATAGTCAAATCAAATAGTTCAATAAATTATTAGAAGAGAAATCTTCATCTCAGAATGATGAAGTCAACAGTCCAAAGTCAACGACGATCGATAAATCAAAGTGGGTTATCAATCTCTCAACACATATATTAAGTCCTACAGAAATAAGTGCATTAGAAAAGGGACTAAATTTCAATGTGTCAGTAGACAAGCTGAAACCTGATGATGTCATCCCTAAAATAGAAATAGCACTAAGTGGGATAGACAAAACTACGACTGATGAAGTACGGGCACAATGTGCACTGACATTAAAATTACAAAAATGTGGAAAGCCTAACCCGACAAAACAAGAGATAGAAGCCCTGAAACACCTTAAGAATAACAAGGATATAGTTATCACAAAGTCAAACAAAGGAAATGCAACAGTATTATTAGACAAATCAGACTATTTGGACAAGGTAAATACTCACAATTTACGTGACATAGTGTGAAATTCGATGCCATAGGACTCAACATTGCCAAAAATAGCAATTTTGGATTTAGAATAACAAGTGGGACAAGTAGCTGGAGAAATTTCAAATTGGGAATGAACATAAAAATCGTAATGGTGAGGGAAAGGTACAAATTTTTAAAAATTTTATTCCTTTTACGTCCCCAGTGGAACATAGGGCTCCAAATTAGAGGCTTAAAGTTTTGGTAGCAGTGGTGTTTATTTTTACGAAATGGGGTTTCTCGTCAGCCTCATGCCTAACCTTCCCTCTTTACCAGTCTTATTACTGGCTTAGCGAGGTGAAGGAGTGCATCAACCGGGGACTGAATCCCGGACCACCTGCGTGGTTGGCGAGCATTCTACAGCTGCGCCACCGATTCATCGCTTCTCAGCTGTCTGAGCTAAGATCAAGTGATCATGTGAAGGTACATATAGATAAAAAAAAGTAAAAAGTAAACGTTTACCTCTCCCCTGCTAAGACAGAAACAGGTCTAGGACATACTTTTTGTCCGCAAATGTCTGGCTTAAATCCATGAGTGGCCGACGGCTACGCTGTCTTCGCTAGATTATCTTCAAATAATGGTCAGGGTAAGTAGAGTGACAGGAGTCAATCAAGTGTTCTAGAATACAGCTTAGCACAGCCTTTCTTTCTCCTTTGTAGTTTTAAGTGTTGCAATGTCAACCTTACTTTCGATTTTGTGCTGGCAGGTTTGATTCACACCTTTTTTTCATTATTCACTCGTCTCTGGGTCCATATAAACACGACATTTCGAATTCGTATTCCATGTGGACTGTAGTGGGGGAAAATAGGATTCAGCTATTGGTGCGATTACTTATGGATAGATCAATGCTTCTAATTGAAACCCACCCTAGGTGTAGGATTCTTAATCAGAGCTGACTCTGGAAAACGAAAAACATAAGCTCACCTGATTATGAGATGAATACACACAGTTGACTTTCCACCGGCTTTTACTCATATTTATGCAATTCAGCTTTTCTAGTGCTTCTTAATTACATAACACCATTATGTTTCTTTAATTCTCTCTACAGACTGACTATCACGATCAGACAGAAAACCGAATACAATTTAAAACAAATGCTGTAATGCGTCAATTCGGTCGACATCGTATGCTAACTGGAGTTGGACCAGAGAATTTATTCAACTTGAATATGACTGAACTACCGATAGTCTATGAGAAACCATCTGCTCAATTATTCTTACCAGATGTATATAAAAATGCTCATTTAAACAAACCTTATAATGATTCAATTTTCAATAGTTTACAATTTAAAATGCTTCCAAATCGACACAGAATTTCCGGTGATTTCATTTTAACAAAAAATAGATTATAAGCTGGATTATTAGTTCAATTTTTTAAAATTTAATTGGTTATCGATTTTCTTTGATAATAGTCGAGTAAGGTCATCACAAGAGAAACTTTGCCAGTCAGTTAATGCACTTTGTAATCTTCCTTAGTTTCGTTGTGTTCTTCAGGATCGGAAGTTTGTGACCATTTAAGCTTTCATTTTGAATCAGAGCTCAAGACAATGTTCAGAAGGTGAATAAAAGCTTTGCATTAAAACCAATAAGCCCAGAAAATACAAAACATTCCAGAACAACCACACGAGACAGGAACCATTTCCATTATTTCAATTTTTCCGCACTTTAGTGAGTTTTTCAAATGTCGATGTTGACTGATTGGAAGTCTGGTCACAGACTGATATCATTTAGAGAACCAGAGAGTACTGGACTGCTGTTTTGTCTTTGTTTGCAGTACGCATCCACCACCTAAGTGGGGGGTCGAACTCAGGAACTTCCAGTTAGAAGGAAAGCCCATTAGTCATTCAGTCACTGCGATGGGATCTGACGGCTCATGAATTGTAGCTTCTGCAAAATGCGAAATATAGGGAGACCGCCAGTTACTAGTCGGTTTATTTTCAGAGTCAGTTATCTGTCAACAGTTGTAGAATGGATACCTTAGTAATAGAGATTCTGACATGACCAGTAAGTCACACAAGATGGAATTAAAAACGACATGATTTCTTTGATTTGTCTCATTGGCAGTAGGGATCTTCCTTTTGGATAGAGGTCACTTTAGCTCTAGCATTCACTAGGAGTTACCGCATCAGAATTGGTTGTCGTAGAATCCACTTTTGGCGTGCTGTTTACATGAGTCTTCCATTGAAATATTACCAGTAAGAAACAGAGTCGATCACAATCTACCCTTCACATGTTCTTCATCATACTATTAGGTTCCATTGATATAAGAATAGAATCTGGGCATTTTGGTAAAATCTAATTCTATCAGAGATTAATTTCATTTGGCAAAACACACAGTGATGAAGTATTATTGGTTAACTCATGAGCAAAATTTATTACTCATAATTATATCAAGGCACTCATATAGCCTCTCAAACAGCTGAATTCTTTCTTACCCTTTGACTATGTAAGTATTAATAATTTCCATACTTCTGGTATCAGTGTTGTGTCATTTGCATTGAACATGTTCCGTGTAGATTTGAAGACCAATGATTCAGCGATTTACCTCTTCATCCTCTGAACTCTTTAATTTCTAGAAAATTTTCTTTTCGACGAAGTCATTCGTGTATTTATATTACATATGTAAGAAAGTTCCAGAATTATTTCCGGTCAGAGGTCAGAATAATAAAATTACTAAGTGTAATAAACAGAAGACAGGTAGTGGCAGTATTCTAGAAATATTTCAGGTCAAAGGTCAAATTAAAAATTACGATGTGTAATAATCAGGAAGATTGGGTAGAAAAGACAAAATAGGATTATAATTACTGGAAAACCCATCAGTTAGTATAATTACGGGTTAGGGACGTAGTATTAACGAAATGGGTTGGAGGTTCGGACAAAAATAAAAGCAGTAACCAGATCTAATAATGAAGATAAGGATTTAGGAGGTAAATATAAAAAATAAACGGGAAGGTTGGACTAGAAAGATGATAGGATGATCATTATTGGTGAGACTGACTTTTCATGATGGCCAGGGTACGAACAATCCGCGTCGGTGGCATAGCGGTTAGGACGCTCGCCGACCATGCACATGGTCCGGGGTTCAATCCCCGTCTGACACACTCCTTTACCTCGCTAAGCCAGAAATAATGCTGGTGAAGAGGAAAGGTTGGGCTTGAGGCTAGCAACCCCATCCTGTAAAATAAACACTGCTACAGAAATTTCAAGCTACTAGCTTGAAGCCCTATGTTCCACTGGGGAACGTGAAGGAAAAAAAAGAGTACGTACAACTGTTGGTCGTATTTCTTTTGGACGCAAAGAGTAGGCTCGAGTTTTTGGATCACCAGTGCCTTTCCCACTCTATTGTGTGGTCGCGTCTCAGTGCACATATTGTTGTTGCTGAGTTTGTTTTTAAATGATTCGTCTTCTTAGGGTCAGTTATCCTACATTTCGCTAAATTGTTATGTTCCAGTAACCTGATGTGCCCTTATCTACTGTCTACTATCAACTTATTTTATTAAACTCACACTTGTTGTAGGGCATTTTATAGGTTAAAAGATTTTATATAATTTGGTCAAAACAGTTTTTCACTACGCAGAGCTGTCTCTGAGTGAGTTTGTAGGTTTGAGTATACTGTATACTACTATTTTAATTAATAAAATAGAAACTCAGTACATTATGGACATTAGGAGATTCTTCACAGAATATTCCAGTACATTTTAAGAGGAATAGTATACTGTCTGGAGGCACAACCTGAAGCAAGTACCTGTCTTAAGGGACCAACCACTGAACCTTTGGCTTGAAATTTGATTAACTAGTTGGTAGAGCAGAATGAGCGTTTGTTTCCCACTGGTTGACAGTAATTGGAACGAGTTATACGCGGTTAGATTCTTTTGGATTCTTGAGTCCATGTGCACCATTTGGTTTGGTCACGGAGATTTTCAGTGTCCATAGGAAGATGTGTGTGCCCACCAGTCTGTTTACAAGCGCGAGATGTTCTTATTCGCCCTTTCGTTTTTCTGAGTGACTACCCAGTCTTCTGAAGGCAATGAATATAACTTATGTGGCAGAGGAAGCCTATGAACGCGTGACCATATGGCAGCATTTCGAAAGAAATACTGGAGTCTACCACTCTGGGCCATAACAGGTCGTTTATGGGGACAGGTTGCAATGTACAGCAGAAACGAGGCAGCATTAATACCAGATAAGTGGGAGATATCATTACCAATAACATCAAAGGATAGAAAATAATAGAGCTATATAAATAAAATTTGAAAGAGCTTATGTGAGTACCTAATATGATTATAAGGAATGAATTATGCTAGAAATGTCATCAGTAAAGGAATAATACTGTATCACCGTGTATTTTCGTCAGATAAAGTTATTCTATGATGATGTTCAGGCAGAACGCAAAAGACAAGCTGTCGCATTGAGCCACTTCAACGTGCATATACCAGTTTACTTGCTCGTGCGGAGCTGAGTACATCGGCTGTTCCATGCGCCAACTTGAAAAAGGCACTCGTGAACACTTTCCAGTCTGGCTAGTAAAAACCAAGTATATAGTTCTGTTACAGAACATATGGTCAACTCAGGACATTCAGCGCCTTTCGAAAAATCCTTCAAAATAATATACAAGATTCAATCAAACCAATCAAAGGGAGTAAAATCAAGACATCTGGGCATAGCTGAGGCACTAGCTATCCAAAAGCTCAAACCCACACTTTGTATCCAAAAGAAATACGTCCAAACCCTGTCCCTGCCATAGCCATCATAAACAGGTAATTTTTTTAGTAATGACCATCCCATCGCCTTTCTTATCTAAACTTCCTGTTTATTCATGTTATTTTAAGTTTTTTCTTAATCCCTGTCTACACTACCATATTTTCATATCCACACTTCCTGTTTATTTTGTTATTTTACTATTTCTACATATTTAATCCCTGATTGCATAAACAATTATTCATCACATTAGTTTCCTATCCAAACATCCTGTCTATTTTGTTATTTCTACATTTCTAACCCCCAATTGCACAATGTCAATCTTCTTAGTTATTATAATGCTACTTTGTTTGAGTTTTATCCGTGCCCCTGTTTATTATGTCATTTTAATTCCTAATTGTAATTTTTATTAATTTGACCCTTAACTGGAAAGTATTCTGTAACTATCCCACCCATTTGTTACAAATACATGAATCTACAGCCTAGCTGATGACTTCGTCAAAAAGAAAATTTTCTTCACTGCAACCTTCTTTTTAATGATTCCTATGATGTAGTAATACCTATTAAGCTACAGACAGATTAGTGGCAGAATATGGTGTTAAATATCTGTGTTACTGCAATTTGTGAAACAGTCTTCAAATAAAAATGGTATGATCCGCTGTACTGTTTAGGAGACAAATATCATGTACGTGAAGACGGGTGTAATTCACTTACATCTTCATCAAACATAATGTCTTCTCAGCCAGAAACAGATTCTCTTTATTCCACATTAAATTAACTACTTATGCCTATATGACGGATTACTTTGCAAACATGATTCTGAGTTTAATCAAACGGTAGTGTGTTTTGATGATCTAAGTGAAGAAATTATTCTGATGTTGTGTAGTTGAAAAGGTGACGGTAAGAGAGGCCTTTGTTGACTGTAATCTAGATAAGCAAACTATATCGAAGAAGCGTGTATTTTGTGAGTCTGATAGCAAGCAGATATCAGATATTCACATGAAATCGAGACAGTGAAGATCTACAAAACTGCCTTAAATTAAAATGTCAATCAAAGCTACTTTCAGATTTAAAATGAATCCTCCTTTCAACATAACACTGATTTAAACAATGAAAACGATACCGTTGTTCGTATTTTCAAGAAATCATTGAACCTCGAACACCATTAATGTTCACAGAGTATATTTTATCAATGCAAGATTTAATCTAAGCCCAAATATTTATTTCATGATATATAGATATATCTTATGTGTGAATGAGAGTTGTAAATTAACAAAATAATTAAAAAGTCCGCTGTTCAATTCTCTGCGTTCAATGATCAATCTTTCATATCTCATCACTACTTTTGTTGTTATTAAGCGCGTAAACATGGAAACCATAATCAGCACATCATGATGAAAGAGCTCTCTTAAATCGAAGTAGAACAAAGTGATAATACTGAAAAACAAATTTCCAGTAAACATTTTTAATAAAAATACTCATAAGGAATTCTCAGCACAACAAAAATCGTTATTTATGCTACTGTAATGAGTGAAGGGAGACAAGAGACTTGGTAACGGAGTGTTTATTAAGAATTTTATGTAAATATATGGGGAAATTATGTTCACTTTTTCTGAAAATCAATCGTCATTTACACAGATATTCCACGTTGTGC